AGACGTAGAGAGAGAGAGAGAGAGAGAGAGAGAGAGAGAGAGAGAAAGAGAGTGATTGGAGACACAGTACAGCATAGTAAGTTTAGTATACTGTTACTGTATCTATACACATCTTTATTAAACATATATGTAATGTTTAATAAAGATGTCTATACACACTAACACTAAACTATCTGACAGACTTACTATGCTCTACTATGTCTCCTGCATGCTGTCTCTCTCTCACTCTCTCTGACTCTTCTCCCTCTGCTCCAGTGACAGGATTCCCTCTGCTGATCTCTCTCTCCTCAGCTCCTCAGCTGATCTGGGGATTTTAAGATGGAGTTTCTCTGGTATCGCAGGGCTGCAGGTGCCTCACAGGAGTTGTAGTCTGGCCAGGGGATCAGTTCTGGGCTTTTCATTTTGGGGCATAAAGTTCAACCTTTGGGTTTGGAGGAGGAAGGTGTGAGGTTTGGGACACATAAGGACTGAGTCTTCGGGAGAAAAAAGGGACTAGTTATTATTTTATATGAACTAGTTCCCATCCACATCCCTAGTCTGAGCAGTGTATCGAAATGCCTCTGATATCCTTTCCTTATTCATCCCTACCAGGAATGGTGAGCAGGTGAGGATCATCTGCGAGGACAATAAATATGACTTCGCCCTGCAGGAAACACGGGACCTGAAGGAAGTCATCACCATCAAAGTGGTATATTCTGCTGGGATTTCCCACTGGGACATAGTTTGTGGGCTGGGGACTGGGATGCAGAGGAGGCAGAACAGGCTTACATAGTGACACAATTTGTCTCCGTCATTTTGGTTTGAAGCCTATTACTGTCTCACATAGTTTCCAGGTTCCCACTGGTGGGTACCGGTTGCTCTGTGCTTTCTCCAGGCACACTTTTGGGAGTAGCCCCTGCTCCTACAGCTCTGACTACGTGACCTGTTTTGTGCTGCAGGGAGATGAGATCCTAGTGGAATGTAACTTTCAAACTTTGGATCGGACGGAAATCACCTTCGTAAGTCTGATTTCTATCTGCAAATTTTCTATGCGTTTAAGACTAATTTAGTTCTATTGAAAGGTGCTGGATTGATAGATGTTGGAGAACAATGCCCTCTATCCCCAGACTAAAGCAGTGCAAGCTTTCTTTGACATATACAGAGATTCATACTGTGATTGAGGGATGGCTTCCCAAGCAGGGAAGTGGGTCTCCACAACTGAAATCGAACGCAGCTGCGTAGTATCATTCATCACACAGAATTACCCTGTGGTCTGGCTTGGGCTAAGCTATAGAAGGGGCTGGTAATGACACTATGGGTAGTATTGTTCCCACTGTGTCTTAGTAGAACTTTGTGTTGCTCTCTGTACCTTGAAGGGTGGGCCGAGTACCTTGAATGAGATGTGCCTGGCATTCCTCTTCTATTACCCTCGCAACAACATCTCCAGCTGCATGGGATACCCAGATATCCAGCAGATTGCCCACACACTTGGCCAGGAGGCCTCAGAGTAAGTCCCTCATTAGATGCATTTCTGGAGAATAAAGAGCAAAACTTCTGAGGGATGTGGCCATGGATGGGGAGGATGCCAATTGAAAGAGATAATTGAGAAGGGATGTTGCTGATGTTGCATATGTCTGGACCTGCCTGATTGAGCCCTACTCAGAAATTTTTCATTTGTGATACCATAACAATCTCCTTTCCTTTTCCTCTTCTTTCTCTCCTTCCTTCTTCTCTCCTCTTCTTCCCCCTCCTCACTTGTCTTCCTCACTCTCCCAAATCCCCTTTACTCTTCTCCTGCAGTGCAATGGAAGGAATGATTGCCATGAACTATGTTGAATGGAACAATGAAACCATCAAGACTGCAGAGAAAGCAGCCAAGGAGGCTGATCAGATAGTCATGATTAAAACCATTGATGTAAGTGTCCTTTGCTTTTATCTTGCTGAGTGGTTAGGGGTTGGAGAAACATGGTCAGCTCTGGAGTTCGAGACCAAAGCACATGTCAGAACCAGAGTCAGTGCCTTACACACAGAATGGCACCTGCACTCTGTTGATATCCACTGGGTCACATGTAAAGGAAGGGCCTATAGGCAGGTGTATTCACTTCACTTTACACTTTCACTGACTACTCCATCCCCTGAGAGTCTAACCCTGGACCTCCCGCATTGCACACTCAGCTCTGCCAATGCCACTCAATCCTATTCTGTGGCCCCCCTTCTATTCTAGTCCTGGGCACTACACATACACAATTCTGCTAATGCCTTTCAATCCTGACAGCCCCTATACCTTGCTATTTGAGTTAGTGCTTCTGCTCAAATCTTTCAATGCATCTTAATCCTCATCTGTGTATTGGTTAGAGGACACTCTCTTAGGATTCATCTAATGAGCTACGGAACTATGTCACCAAAGAAGTTTACATGGGACTAGCATGAGCATCTAGGGACAAAATCAGGAAAGCCAAGGCAAAGAATGAGTTACAGTTGGCAAGGAACATTAGAGACAACAAGAAGGGCTTCTTCAAATATGTTAGACATAAAAGAAAGATCAAGGATGGTGTGGGTCCGCTGCTCAATTGAGAAGGTGACCTGGGAACAGAAGATGATAGGAAAGCAGAGCTGTCAATACCTAGCACATGTGACCAGCTGCCTAGCAGAATTACCATAGACAATATAGGGAAACCAATATAGGCAGATCAGAATAAGTAAAGAACATGTCAGAGATCTTCTGACCAATTTGAATTAATTCAAATCAGCGGAGCTGGATGCTATTCACCCATGGACACTGAAGGAATTAGCTGAAGGAATCTCAGAGCCACTGGCGATAATGGGCCGATAATATTTACAAACTCATGGATCTCGAGGCATAGCATGCGAGTCACAGGAAGTGATAGTACTATTCTACTCGGTACTGGTTAAGCCTCAGCTGCAGTACTGTGTTCAATTTTGGTCTCCGATGTATATAAAGGATATAGAGAAACTGGAAAGGATCCAGAGGTGAGTAACAAAGATGATCAAAGGGATGGAATGCAAACCATATGAGCAAAGGCTGAAGGAATTGGGTATGTTTAGTTTGGAAAACAGGAGATTAAGGAGGGACATGATAGCAGTTTTCAAATACTTGAAAGATTGCCGTAAAAAGATCGAGAAAAGTTGTTCTCTCTTGCAACACAGGCAGGACAAGAGGCAATGGGTTCAAACTACAGCATAGCATATTTGGATTAAATCTCAGGAAAAACTTCCTTACTGTAAGAACAGTAGGACAATGGCACAGACTGCCTAGAGAGGTTGTTTTCCCCAGAAGTTTTCAAAAGGAGGCTGCATAGCCATCTCTCTTGGATGGTTTAGACACAACAAATCCTGCATCTTGGCATGGGGGTCAGACTAGATTACCCTTGTGGTCCCTTCTAACCCTATTATTTTAATTTAATCTTTCAGCTAAGTATTTCCTGGGAAAGCATACAGGCTATGCTTACATATAGACTATGCTTACATAGTTAACAGAACTTGCTGTTCTGGATTGGACCAGTGGATTTTGTAATCTGGCATCCTGCCTGTGACAGTTGCCTAGATCAAGTAATTCAGGAGACAGTAGATCTGCCATTCCCGTAAGATATCTGTCCAATTCAATACTTTACTATGGGTGAGGAATCTGAACGGTGAGGAAGAAGTCCTGTTCATTATTATTTGTACTATGGTAGTGCTCAGAGGTTTCAGTGGGGTTCTATTGTGTACAAGCACAGATATAGACATGGTCTCTTTCCTAAAGAATTCTGAGCCCAGCTGGTTATTAGGAAGGCAGCACTAACCTGCAGAAGACAGCATCCCCCATCTTGAAATTTGTGGGACAGTCCTGATTTTCATAGAGCCATCAGAAAATCCCTTGAATCCACAGTTTGAAGGACTGTTCAAGAACCCAGAATTTATTTTGAGCACTGCTAGGCTTGTCACATGTTTATTTGATAGGACAAACTCTTGAAACATAATAATGTTTATAGTGGGATGTCATGAAACAATACTTTTGGCACAAAGTGATAGTGTTGCATGTCCTCAGGCGGTGTTTATAGGATGTGGGATCACCCCAAGGAAATTAGGATGAGTCAGGAAAAACATTGGCACATATGGTGTATCTATATACATTATAGCACATCTATTGGATAACTGGTCATCTTATACATAAATCAGAAAAATAATCACTTCTATCAAGAAGGTATCAAAATTCCACTCTCCTGTCTTCTTTCAAATTGCTACCCTGATGTCACAATGAAGAAATATGACACGATTTTGTCCTATAGGACAATTTCATGTGGGTGGGAACCCTACAAATAAGACACCAACTAATCTAGGCACTCCAATAAATGTAGTGTTAACCCCAGGAGTCATGTGGCATCTGGTAAATAGATCCCCAGTGGGGCATGGATCAGCCTTCATGTCACACTCCCCATCAGTACCTGGCCCAGGCCAGGGAAGCTAATGACCCAACCAGCGGACCAAGTTCAGTGATGCATCCTGGTCAGATGGCACCTGAGGCACATTGTGCCTAGACTAAGAAAAATAAAGCCCCTGCCATTTTGAAAAACATGCTAATTTTTTCCCTTTTCCTTTCACTCCCAGGAGCTGCAGAAAAATGAGAGTGGTATAATCCGGGACATTATGATTCCAGAGAGTGGTCTCTGCCATGACATTTCTGGACGCCTCGGAGTGCGGGGTCCCCAGGTCACAGCAAACCTCCGGGGGGCTGCAGCTGTGATTTCCCAGGCTCTCAGCACTGCAGAGATCTTGCCTCTTCCTCTCCTGTTGCTGACACAATTGTCATTCACCTGGCTTCTCACTTCCTCCCAGTGTAGAATTTGAGGAGCAGAATCCCTGTTTTGTTACAAGATATAATTAACCCATTGAAGCCTCTACAATTACTGTGTGGTGATGGGATATTTACCTGGTAAAGCTTCTGAAATCTGTAGCAGTGACAGGAAATTTACCCAGCAAAGTCTCTGAAATCACTGGGCATGAAACTGTATTTACCTACTAAGGTCTTTGAGATCCCTGTTGTGATAAAAATGCCTTTTAGTATAATCTTCCATTCTAAATCCAGGGAAATATTGCAATATACTGCAGAAAAGACAGTATTGCAAGAGGATAAAGACCCCCTTTTTAGACTCTGTTCTTGCCCTTAATGTCTACTAGAGTGTTTACTCATTCAAGGATCCCTGGTAGCTGGGCAGTCACTTGGTATGTACCCACTGGCCTTTCAGTTATCACTGTCCACTAACAGGGTATTTACCCAATAAACACTCTATAATCATTATCCAGTCTCGGGCTATATACCTACCCAGTGTTCTCTGATCACTATCCAGTTAAATGCTCTTTAGTCAACAATCCAACAAGTGAGTATGATTTACCTGTTAAATACTCTCCCATGTCCAGCATCAAGGTATTTAGCCAGTAAATGTGCTGGAATTGCCTCCATTGACAGGAGGATTAACTGGTAAATGCTGTGTTATCATAATACAGTGACAGGGTGTTTATCAGGTGACTTCCAAAGCTCTAAACACTACAGAGGTACTGCCTCTTCCTCTCTGGATGCACTATCAAAATGTGAAGACACACAAACTATGGGAATCCTCTGCCTGGGCAGGTAACACCTCATTATCACACCTAGTTTTCTGTTTTCTTTTTTAAAACTGTAAATGGATGTTTCCTTCCAGTGTCAAAAATACCTCCAAATTCTGAAATGAAATATTTCTCTAATTGCAACACTGTGTTGATTTTTTAAAGGGGAAGTATAGGACAGCTCCAAAAATTTCAGTTGAAATGTTTTTGAGAAACAAAACGTTTTCACAGAAAGTGTCTGCTTTCCTCGAAAATGTTCAGTTTTGTTGTCAGAAAACTGAAAACCACATACTGTTCCAATATGATTTTTTTTCCCTGCAAAAACTTGAAAATCATTGTGGAAAATTTCAACAAAATAATAATGGTTTCAATTTTGTCAAAATTTTCTGTTGGGGAAAAAATCCCATTTTCTAACAACCTGTAGAGTTTAGGTTTTTTAATGTATGATGCATCCCAGCACAGGTCATCAGCCAGGACAGACCTTGGGACATTTATCATGAAAGCACAGACTTCCACCATGTGAGTTAAAAAGACAAAATCATCTCACTCCTCTGAGGTCAGAGCTGACGGCGAAAAAGAATCAAGAAAAAATGTGTTTCATTTTTTCCACTCCATAAAAATATTTAGTTTCCCAGCCTTCCACACATTTATTCATACAGTTTTACAGTATTAGTAAGTCACATTGACAAGTTAGGTGTAGAAAATAAAATCTCTCCAGCTGCACAGCTATAAATTCATTTTAAGCAGGAAAAAATACCCTCACAACCAAACCAGCTACAGAGCAAAGAGAATATCAGGGAGAAAGCATAAAGCACTGGCCTAAGCCTTCCTTCTGAACACTCAGTTCAGTGGAATAACAGAGCCAGCAGGGCAGAAAATGCCTACATCACAAGAAGAGATCCACACTATTGGAATCAATTGGCCCCTTTGGGGAAGGTCTCAACAAAAAAGGCTAGGATTTGAACTGGCCACAGAAAGTGATTCTCCCCCGCCTCCCAGCACCCGTCACCTGGGAAAGGACTGAGGCCCACTTGTTAGGAATTTTAATAGCATCTCAAAGCTTTAACTGAGATCAGGACCCCTGTACTGGGCACTGCACATACACAGGGTAAGGCCTTGGCTACACTTGCAGATGTACAGCGCTGTAAGTTAAACCTGACTTCGTGCAGCTGAGTAGGGAAAGCGCTGCAGTCTGTCCACACTGACAGCTGCCCAGCGCACTGTCGTGGCCACATTTGCGGCAATTGCAGCGCTACTGGGAGCGGTGCATTATGGGCAGCTATCCCACAGAGCACCTTTTCCCATTCTGAC